CTAGCTTTCTTGTTGCGAGAAAGGAAAACAGAAATCAATTCCCCCTCATAACCCAGAATCCGTCTGTTGTGAAATTCAGACGCACAGACTCGTCCTCCCTCCCTCTCCCCCGACAACATGCAATACCGCACGAGCTGGAAACCTCTTCCTCCCGAAGACGGCTTTTCTTTTCAGGGGAGCACAGAAGGAGAAAAAAAAAAACTTGAAAACCTCTTGCGTTTGCAAAGCCACTCCCATTTCTCAGCTTGTTTAATTATTGGGCAGGGCCTGGGATGAGTTTAGCAGGCGCATTGCTGCCGTACATTCCTGAGGGCTTAACATCCTGTTGCCTTTCTCCACCTCGACAATGCTTTCACATGGCTCATACAGTGAGGCACGTACACATGTCTGTTCTTGGGCAATGCTGTACCCAAGCGCCGAGGATCGCTTCAAACAGGAAATTGATGCCAGAGGGCAAGCATTCAGCCTTCAATCCCGGCATGAAGCACTTCTGCCTACACTGCGGCTAGACAGACTTCCTGGAGATTTCTGCAGCTCATTGGCTCCAATCGAGGAGTGCAAATTGTCTGGATGCGCTTTAGAAATATTATGTTTTCAACTTGATCAAAACTGCAGATGAAGAACCAGAAGGCTTTTTTTTTATCACTTGAAGTTGTGCTGTAGAAAAGCGAAAGGGTTCTTGCCTCAGACCTTTTAATAAAATCCAGATAATCCTCTGGCCCTTTCCTGTAGCTTTCTGTCCGGTTGGTCATATAATTCAAAGTTTCTGGAATGCTAGTTTTGCAGTTAATGGTCTGCCCCTTAAATGTGTGGCCCGCTGTTTACTGCGCTCCCAAACAAGACCGACTGAGAAGCCGTCACACAGTCGGCGTTATTCATTTGGCCTTTCCCCTTGGACAAACTGCAGGTCTGCAGGTCTGCTGAGGGCCAACCTTTTGGATGAGAGTGACAGGGAGCTTTTTGGTTGGTCACTGTTGATGCCCCCAGCAACTGGACTGCGCGGTCGAGTCTTGCCTCATTAAGACTGGGACCAGTTTCGAGTCTGCTCTTGGTAAAGGCCTTCTTCACTGCGGTCGTGCTAGTGAGTGGAATTCTCAGAGCGCTTCATGAGAGGTTGAAACAACCCCGCTCGCCAGTTTCAATTACTTCCGCCCTTGTGAACCAGGAATGAGCCCTGCCCGCCTTTATCTGAACGTCCTTGCACCTTTTTCCCACTCTCAGTGGTCACGATCCGCCCTTCCTCAGGGGTTGGGCCTGGCCTGGAAACTGTCCTCTGTGAGATTACTCTCCAGGGCGCCAAACCTTGCTCAAACTGAGACACCACAGTAACAGCCGCCTCTGTGGAGAACAAGGAGTACTAGATTCTCGTCCTGCTCGCTTCACAACTGGCAGACTGCTAGTGCTCTGGCTTTCTCCAGGTCTGGTGTTTCCTGCATTTCAAGATGCTGAGTGGAAAATGTACAAGTCTGAATTAGAATAATTTCAAATTTAAACATGAAGTATGTATTTGGCATTTCTTAGAAACAGTGTATCCTGCTTTTTCTGAATTCATACTAAAAACAACTTTTATCATTTAAAGATTATATTTTACTTAGAGGGAGGTCAATTGCCGAAGCATATAAAAGCTTATAATATATATATATATTTTAAAATGTCGGTCTAGATAGCTAAGCCATAGTGATTTTAATTCTGCTTCAGGAAACATTCACAACTTTGCTGTACTTTGAAAAAAAAAGCCATGTTTCTAAATAATTTCTAGAAAGAAATCTAGACTTGCTTCTGTGGAAACTTTCAGAAATCTAATTAGGAAAAATAACAAAGACAACACAGCCACTGCCAAGCGAGAACAACCTGCTTATTCACCCATATCCATATCCTGCCCAAGGTCTGACTGGCTGCGTTTTAAACACGAAACCTCCTTTTAGGCAAAGACAGAAATTATTACCAAACCTGCATAGCAGTTTTGGAACAGCAGATGCTGCGGAGTTTTTGTTACTCTACAGCAAGGTGCTCCATACAAAAGAAAAGCCTAAGGGTCACGACTGAATTCAGCTCAGTTGTCACTGATGAAGGTCCTACAGAGCCAACTGTTTTAAGGGTTACCCAAAGTTCACAATACAATCCTTCCCATATTTGGCTTCCCCTACTCTTAAAGGCTTATGTTAAAAATTTGAAATGATGGAATCCAAACAGGAATGTTCATTGGTTGCAGCTGGTCACCACTATACAATATGGACTTGCAGAACGCAGGCTTAAACCTTTTTATTAGACTCTCAGATGGAGCTGAGTCTCCACACACACGTTGTGTGCCACCCAAATAATTTCAGCTTTTAAATTATTAAAGATGGAAGTTTTAATAAGGTATAATGCACATCCCTCTCTCAACACAAGTCTATATGATTCATTGAAGTATAAAGTGTGCCATTCATTCAAGGACTAAATTATTAAACAGTGAGATTACCTCATGTTAAATTTGAACTTCTGTTGTAGATCGAACAACAGCTTTAGTATTCAGCCTAACTCTGACCCAGGCAGTGAACCAGGCACTTTAAAAAACAGGACATGCTTAAATTATCTTCAGTCCTGGGCTTACGAGCTGATCAATTATGAATTAAGCTGATATGGAATTCACACCCGAGTTCTTTTATATTGATGTTCCTCCCTGAAGACCTTCTGCCTCTGACTCACGCCACCCAAACCTACAAACTGCTATCAGTTAACAAAATTCCTTGCAGTGAGGCAGCAGACACAGGTAACTATTGGTTTCTGAACAGGCTGTTAGGAAGATCCACAGAAAAACACAAGGAAGTCTGCACCACAATTATTGTGCATAGGCAGAAAGCAGGGAGGTGACTCTCACATTCTTGGAGAGTACAGACAAGCACGCAGACCTTCAAGAAAGTAAGATCAAAGTTAGGAGGGTGAAACCGAAGAGCACACTTTAGACAAATCAGCTGTAGACTTTTTCAAGTTGTCAGTTTTTTTTTAAAAGGGCCCAAAATAAACCCCACTCCACCATGAGAGCATAAAAAAGTGAATATGTGGACATCCGAGTGGAAACAGATTTCCCCCAGACGAAAGCGGGCACTTTTTTCGGGATTTTCGGGGTTGCGACGGATGACACGTTGTGATTCGTGGGATTGATTGACCATGAGCCACACAAGAACCAACGGGTCTGAAGGAGCCGTATTCGTCTCTGGCTTTGCTCTTTCTCATGGGTGTGATGCCGAACTCTGTAAACGAATGGGGTGGGGTTACCTCCCTGATGAGCACTAGGAAAACAAGTCTGAGCTGAGCGGAGACATCCAACCTGGTCCAGGAGGGCCAGCGTTCCTGTAGGTTTTCTTAACAAGCTGTACTAGTGTCTGGCTTAATTGGCTCAATTTAACAGCTGCTCCCATCTCTTAGTGCGCTGATGCTTTAAAGAGACCTAGGAAGCTTACAGACACTCTGGGCCTTTCAGGAACAAAATTGGACAGCCCTGCTCTCGGGTATCTGAGCATGTACGATGGTTCATTTACTTCCAATTTTCTAAACTATTTTTAAAATAACACCCTAAAGTTTTTCAATAAAATAAAATAGAAAAGCAATCATCATGTTTCCCCCAGAACTGTCTCTTATCCCACACCACTCCAGTTTGCTAATAACCATTTTAGGTCCTGGCTTGAAAACACTCCTTAATGAAGATGATTAACATATCCAATCGTTTAGCACTTGAATGATGAGCGCAAAAAAAAAAAAACTGGCTCCAAAGATACCTACTGCTCACTGCAATTCATTAGCTTATTTCCCTACAGGGGACGAGTGATCTGAGCTCAGAATAAATGCTGGCGTGTTATTTAAAGATATGTGAAGATTTTAGTTTATTCTTGGATTTCCACTTAAGCGGAACATTATGACTTTACACTCAATAATAAACGGCTTTCATGTGCTTATGGGCTAGCAATTTCTGCATCTCAGGACCACCCCTGAAACCAGGCTAGAGTGCATTTTCTCCATTCCTGCTCCTCGTGATCCAGGATCCAGCAGCTTTTCTATAACCCCTTAATATATAAGCAGCTCTTCACCTGGGAGAAGTGTTAAATTGATCCCATTAATGTTCAACTGGACCAGTATGTTCCCACTCCACCGTAGCTGGTGATGATATAAAGAGACAAAACCTCCTGGAATCCAGACCAGAGGATTAGAGCTGCTCTGAGTTCCTCAGAGTAATGCGACATTAAGTCCTTGCTCTGTGAGTGAACAGTACTTACTGTCTGTTTATTCATAGGGTGTATGTTCATCTTGTGTGCAGCCTCAACAACCTCTCAATTCTGTTGACTTTGTAAAGGCGAGGTTTAAATCGGTTAATAATAATAATAGTGTGAGTTTATTTTGGTTGTAGAACATTAAGGATATCCTATGATTGGATGTATTCATCCTTTTCACTTTTTTGTTTGAGAACAAGATTATTGCGTGTGGAAAGGCACATCTGCAACAACAAGAAAAAAACCCCAGTAAGCACGGTTTGCGTGTCACTGCAGCTCAGTAATGCACTGAGCAGAAAAGAGACCAGGGCTCTGGAGACTAGGTTTTCCACAGACGGGATGGCTCAAGTCAAAAAGAGGAAAAGGCACATTCAGTGCATCTGTTCAGGAAGACGGAACAGAGAAGCATGTTAACAAAATTCAAAAGGGATTGTGATGGAGGCACCACATAAAATGCTGTTAGCCGCACGCCACCTTAACTTACTTTCAGTGCCTTTTGAATAACATGCCTAAGTTGGGCTGGGAAAAGAATTGAATGAGTTTTTCCATACACGCGAACTTCCAGACTAATACTTCCCTTTTTTTTTTGGAAACACAATGTATATCGGTTTTGGAAGTCTCCAAATTTGTGCCTCCAAACACATGCACAAAAGAAATTACTTGGAAGCAATCCGAACAAGACCTTTCCTTTCTCTCCCCAAATAAAAAAGAAATCCACATCTCACAATTCACACAAAGAAATCCCAAAAAATCTCTCGTCAAACGTTTTTTTTTTAAATGTTACATTTACTAACATAAATAAACATTTTTATGAACAAAAAGGCACACAGTTCAATTATAAACAGTGAGTCCATATTTACACTTTCCACGGAATATGACTGCCGAAAAAGTCAACTGTCACAACACCATTGGTCTCTGAACATGACACTATGTACAAAAACCTGGAAGGGCTAAGCTTTAAAACCGCAGCTGCTAAAACAGACTTGTCAAAGTCTTCATTTTAAATAGCTCTATAGTCCAGCAGGGAATGGCAGCAGGCAAGCTGCCCTCCAAGAGCTCTGAGGCCTCACGCGCAAACAGAACGCAGGGGCCGATTTTGGCAGGGGTCACCAAAAAACGGAGGCGCGGGTTCCTGTACCTTTAAACGCACGGCCTCTCGTTTTTCTCCGTACAGTAGGAGCTTCGCAGCTTGAGGGAGCTAAATGGACACAGTGTTTGAAACTTCTTCATATTGAATGATGAAATACGGGTAGCTCTGGTCGTCGTTGAAAATCACGAAGATCTGCGGGTCGACCCAGTTGTCCACGCAAGAGTCAAACAAGTCACTGGAGGCGTCGTGGGGGTTTAACGGGGGGGGCCTCCTCATGGAGGGGTTGCCCACCGTGAACTTGCCAGTGAGCACCTTGGCCAGGAACATGCAGTGGATGCCCCTGGGAGAGCGCTTGGAGAAGTTGTGGGAGTAAACGGCCTTCCTGGCGAAGTAGCTGCCCTGTCCGAACATGGTGGCATGCTTCCCGCAGACGCGGGGGTCGAAGTTGTGCTTGCAGATCCCCTCCACGACGTCCTGAGAGGTGCCGTGGAAAAGGTGCCTTTCGTTCAGCACGCGGTCCACCTCCGTCATCTTTCTAGACATGTACTCCTTCTTCCTGTGAAAACAGAAGTAGAAGCCTTTTTTAGTTCACCCAGCACGGGTGTGGGAACTCCAAGCCCTGCCTCACGCTGGGAGCGCTCTCAGTACTGGTGGCAAAATAACTGACTGCTGTCTCCTTGAGTTACCCTAGAAAGCTCGACAGATATTTGATGATTTCCAGGAAAAATGCCATTACATAACCGGATTACATGCAAATGAAAAACTGCCCTTTTTGTTCCTTTTGAAGGTTTAGAAAGTTTTTTTGGCGAATCCCGAAAACATCCACCCTTTTCGAACATTTGTGCCTTACACAACCACAATGCACGCCGTGTCACGGGCAAACTGTTCCTCCTCAGGGAGGTGAGTGCCTGTGCCGACATCCATCTGATTTCTCTTGGCAACCTTAGAAATCTGCAGCTGCTAGCTTTCTGCATTTGCTCCCTTTTGGAAAATTACATGTCACAGAGCGGCGCTTGATCGGCCTCGATGGAATTCTAATCTCCTTACTTAAGAGCGTATTTAATGTGACTTCACCTCATGTCACCTGCATGGGAGACTGCCTTCTCTGACCTTTGCTTGTTTTGAACAACTTTAATTTTCTGCCATGGACTTGAATGACCACTGAACTGATCTACTTAACAAGGTACTTTTGAGGTCACATTCATAGCCCATGCACTGTGGGTACTCATTTCATGATTTCCTCACTAGATGCTGAATGTTTGGCCATGATGAAAAAAGTAAGCGTAAGCTACCGTTTTCTGGTACACAAAGTTCTTGTTCTGCTGAATGCTCTCCAGATATTCTGGTACAATGACACACACGCTAACAGCTACAGCCTCTCTAGCTCAGTACAGCTTTTAGGAACTAGTGGTCGATGAGTGGGCGCCACACACCAACCTTTTAGATATAAAGCTGCCCACACTTCACAGACAGAGATGCAAGCCTGCATATCCTGTTACTGCAAATGCTTTTGGTTTCAGAACCTGCAGTAAAGTACAGTGCACTTCTATCCTCAAGATCACACTAAATCTTTATTGTCATTTGATTTTGTTTACTATACCAAACAATTTTCCTAAAATACATCTTTCTTTTTTCCCTCACCTCATCCTTGCTATACCACTTCCATTTCAAGACCAAGGATCATCAGAAAGAGCAAAGTGCTCTCTCTCAACGTCCCACACCAACACACCGAGAGCAGAGAAATGTGCAGGACACCTACCGTTTATACTTTTCCCAGAGGAAAGGGTTCTGCACTCTCAAAATCTTCAAAATCCTGAATTTGGTTTCCGACACAGTCTTGTGAAAAAGGCTGTATACAGTTCTGTAGCTTTTGTCATCCTTGGAAACGGGTACTTGGATAAAATCCTGCAAAGAGTCCATGGGAAGCCAGGTTTCGGGATAGACCTTTGGAGAGGTAGGCGAGGTTGGGGATAAAGGTTGTGTGGGTGTTGGTCCGGCTGTTGGGAATATTGCTGAAGAAAGGCCACACAGAGTCCTAGGGAAAACAGATTGAAGAACAAAGGAAGGGAGGAATAAATTAGCACTGTATTCTACAATAACAGAATGTACAGGCCCGCAGACACATTTCACACAGAAAAATATATCTGAGACATTGTACTTTCACAGCGTCAATAATTTACGGAATTATTTAAGCGCAAGGAACACGGCCGAGAGAGGGTAATTGTTTACTATAACCTTTAGTCCAGAAAGTTATTTTCATTTATCTTAGCGAATGAATAAAACTCTCCTCATGTTTCAAAGGTGTGTATCCATATGCACAGCGTAGCTGTAAAGCTATTTGTCATGGAATATTTTGCTATAACGGCAACAGTTAAATCATATGGTGCCAAGCTGTCTGTCAAACTAATGACTTCCACCCCTGAGTATGGGACAATATGTTCCTAACCACTGGATTCTGACAATACTGTTTCCAGCTGTGCTGCTGAGATCAGAGAAATGGCATCTTTATTAGTTTCACTCACAGAACGGGAGCCACATGGCACTTCATTCATCTGGACTTTGATGAATAGGCTAGCCCTTCTGATGTTACACTTTCTGTGAGGGACGGCTGAAAGCAGACACCCTTCCCTAATCCTTTTTTACTTTCAAAAGATAAGAAGCCAGAGCCGATACAACCGCTCGGATTTCCGGTAGGGAAAAACAAAAGGCTGGGCTTAAAAGGACTGGTTCTCTAAGAACCTTTTACGGCACCCTCCAGTACGATACAAAGACGTGCTTAGAGGCTGGGATGGTGTAACTACTGCAGGCTAGAATCTTAGAACAAGATAACCCCCCTTTTCCAGGGCAGTATGGCAGTGAGACACAGGGGCTCATTCAAGAGGAAATTATCTATTCTGCTTGAGGATCATCTTGAACCACAGTAAATGGATTTCATGAACTGTGTGTTGAAATCCATGCAAGAGAAGATGCTTGCTCTTCTGGAACCCCTGGAAATGTCAGATGACAAAAATTACCTACAGTAACTACCTTTTTCATGTGCATGCAAAACAACAGTTGAGTAGATATTTCCCTCTTCTTAAGGAACTAAAAGTATAAAAAAGCCAACTTCCCTATCTTGCGTAATTTATGTTTTGTTTTGGAGTTCCCATCAAAAAATGGCCGAAGAGGAAAGGGTATCAAATCAGTCACGCGAATGAGTTTACTGGCAGTGTCTATTAATTTCTACCATGCAGGCAGAACTCCTTGGGAGACAATTGAGTAATCATCTCACTACACTGCACAAATTGTGAATTTTCAGACCCCCCCCCCATTGGCAAATCGAATAGCCTCATCCACAGGACCATACAGCTGGGACATTAACTGAAAGAACCAAAGTGTGAGTCTATTGTTCACTAACAGTTTCCTCCATGCATACTGCACTTCCCCATTTCTAAGTGAGATTAGCGTTTGCATGCAAAGCTGGTTCTCTATTCACTGGCCGACTTGCTCTGACAGTATAGCACCACATCCTGGGACTTTTGTAAAGGCTTCTATCTACTTACTGTAAGTAAGGCATCAGCATGACAGAGGAGAGAAAGAGAGGTCTTCTTTTGATTTGTCTTCTAAACCCAAAGATGGCATTCTGCTGAAAGCCTTCTCTGATGTTCAGGATGTACTGGTTCTGCAGTGTGACAAAGCGGACTTCCTTCAAGCCCCTACAGGTAGCTTCTTCAATCAGTCGGACAACAGGCTGTGGGAGGAGGGGGGAAAGTTGAACGATATTTCCAAGGAAGGCACACATACACAGCATATAGAACTTTCAGCATTCCAATTTATTATCCATTTATTTTTTTTAACTGAACCACAGAGTGGTCCTGGCTGTGGCACATCAGTGTTGTCAACAACGCATCAGTGATGCAGACAAGGTCGCTAACCTGCTGTCCCAGTTTACCTCAAGTATCAATATCATAGCTGGGTGAAACGAGGTCTAGTGCTGCCTGTGCTCTCATGATAAGGCTCACTACTTGCCTCCTACGCATTGTTCTAACCACGGACTTAGTCATGCATGTCATCTTTTAGCAGACAGCATTTCGTTCAGCAGGCATATGTGCATGACACAGTGAACGCATTTGTTGTTTTTTTTTTTATAAGGGGCTGTGCTTATAGCATACTGTGATCTTACTTCTGATCTCCAGTAGATACAGTACAGTGACCATACCATTATGACTACTTAAAACACCTCTGGGCTATACTCACTTTTCACACCTTGATGTTTCCCGAGAAGAAATGAACACAAAACACTAAAGCTGTCCCTTTCACCCACCTCTTGTCATTCTAAGAGCTTCCATGATCCATTTAAGGGTTTCTCTCTTGATTCGGTATGATCAGGAGTGAAGGGCAGTTTGTGAAATGTTTCAGAAGCACGGCCCCTTGAAATTCAAATTGATCTGCCCCTTTGAACAAAAATGTAGCACCTTGCTATTCAACTGCTTGCAACACCTAAAGGGCACGTTTTATGAACTGTTGTCTATGAAAACTGGTTTACGCTACGGAACAGATGTTGGAAATTAAAAAAAAAAAACAAATGATGGATGGGCACGACTGCCTTGCAGCACTGCTGGGAGAACGGAACATCCTTTGTGCTGCTCAGAGTCATTGTCAAATATGCAATTCAGAGGCCACTGAAATCCGAGACCTACGCTTCCTTACATACAACAAACTGATGCTTCTGCCTTTATAGCCTCCTTCTCTTTTGAGCCCTGCAGGACTCACTCGGAGGCCCCCATTCACATGTCAAGCATTCAAAAAACAATTCTGTAACAAATTAGACTATCATAAATAATAGCCTACTTGCATTTGTATCGTTCTTTATGATTAAATGTACTGGGTCTATGAACTCTTTCGGTCCAATTGGAAAAGTATCTAGTCAAGGCAGGAAAAAACATCTTTGTTCTGGGTGGCCTGTTAAACTTGTGCCATGAAGAGACAGCTTAAGGAGCTGTATGGTTTACCTCAGAATACTCTCTCCAGCCAAAACTATCCCTGCAGTAGTATTTCCACACCATGTGGCAATTGGAGGTTAGGCTTGTGCTGGAAGGAGTAGCTAGACGTCTCACAAGGTCAAATTCCACATCGCAAACTTGCATGAGGCTGAAATCCAGTGAAAAAACGCGTCCCCTAAACAAAACAAAAAGAAACTGGTTAGTAAGGTAAACAGATAAAAAAAATATCAAAATGAAAAGAAAATGAGCAAGAAAGGCCATTCTTTTCACAAATCCAGACATTTCTATTTCTAAGTAATTATGAGGATTTAGGTCTATCAGTCACTGTACTGTAGGCCTCAGTTACTATGCTGACTACATACGGTTAGGCAACATTCATACAAATAGAAATTACAGGTCATATGCATGATCTTTCAGCACTTCATACCCCTGATTAAGAAAAAGAAGACTTTATTGCAGTTGTGCATTTTAGTGTACCTTCATGTGGAGAAACCAACTTTGCTACAGGGCAGCTGAATGTTCACAGTGCACTAACACACCCTTTTAAATCTAGTTACTTCATAATTTCCACTCATCTTAAGCTTATTAATATTTCTATAGGGATTAACGCAGATATGAAAGTAAAATAATGAGTCTAACAGCAGTAGACAGAGGAGGAGGAACAGAAAGTGAGCGAAAAGAACTTTGCTCCTGAACCAAGCTGCCTCTCTAAACAAATAAATCTTACACTTTTCCCACAGAAATCACAGCCTGGAAATAAACACACTACCAATTATTTTTTTTATGTCAAAGCAGGGCTGGAATCCTCTGACACAAGGGTTTAGCATTTTCACAGTCTTGGGTCCACGGTTGAGGAAGTAATGAAAAAACGCTTTATAGTTTGCATTTACAACACATGGGTATTAACAGATAAGCAAAGTTCGCCTTGATTAAGCTGTACCCAAAATAGTCACTCAATTCAGATGCTAGCAAGAGAGCTTCTCTGGCAGATAGGAGTACTGGCAAGTGCCCTGTACAGCTCTGATTGGGCAGTTAAAGTTCCAGTGACCAATGAGGCACAGGTGGTCTGTGAAATGAAGGGTAGGAGGAGTCTGTTCTGACTTCAGGTCTCTCTTGGGATTGTTTCCTTTAATCAACTTTGTATAAATATAACATTTTTCTAATCATATGTTTTAGGTCTGCTGTCTCTGAGTGTAATGACTTGGGGGTATTGGTAGTCACATGTACGTTCTGATATTTTCAGATACTTTTACTGCAAGAAGCCTGAACTCAAATTGTTTGTACTGCCCATCTGCTCCAGCACATCTCAGAAACATCCCAGGCATGTTTGTCTAAAGGTGAAGAATAAAGAATTTAGAAATACACCCATTAGAAAAACAATTAACAGAGGGGCTAACATTTTTCCCACTCGTTACAGATTCCACACATGAATTCTGATGCGCATGAAGACTGCATGCTGTACTCGGACAAACAGTTGAATGTGCGCATGAAGACTGTACTTCTGCAAAGTGGTATTTGAATTTGTTCCCAATCAGGGCTGAGGTTGAAAATAACAGAAGAAACTGTTTGGTAACCTTTCTTATCACAGGGAGCCTCGAACCAGAGTTTTTAACTATATTCTGGGAGGTATAACAGCAACCAAGATCTACCCCTCAGCTCTGCTACTCTAACTCCTAACTCCATGACATCACTTCCTGAAAAGCTATAAATGCTACGGTGAGCCTCGCTCTCTCTCGTGTGTATTCTGCTGTGCAGCTGCCCCTGGGGTCACTCCTGTCTTTCTGGGGTCCTAACTTCCTCATCCTTTGGGCTGGTGGTCACCTCTCAACCAGGTGGGTTAAACCAGAGCTTCTTAAGCCTCAACAGTGCATATCCCCATGTACTGGTGTACTTTCTTATTGGGTGATGTTTTTCCTCATGAACTAAACAACAACACTGTATACATTGATGAAGATCTCCTTTTGGCTGAAAGTGTATACTTATGTGGTTCATATGAGAATTAATTTACTTATCAAATAACATTGGCAGAATGAACACAAAATGAACCCATTACAGGGGTCCAGATTAATTAATAGGGCCAGTGAAAGCCAGTCTGCGAGGAAACTGAATGACAGATGTTCATTAAGTGGAAACATAGGTTGAAAAACAGCAAAACGTGCTCACTAAGCTGTGACAATTAAAGAATACTGGTCTCATTAATGATTCAACAGTAATTTCAAACCCAAGTCCCCTTTCCATTTATAGCTGGGTGAAAAGAAAATGTGCACAACTCCGACTGGGGTAATATTTTAAAAGAAACAGATTGTTTGCTATTGAGGCACAAGATTCACACTTGGCAGTTTAGACCAGCTTTACACCTGAGCAAACGCACAACGTTAACCAAGGACAATTCACCCAGGCAAGAACACTGTGATCACTGTTCGCTCAAACCTGAGGAGGCTGCCACAGACGAATCAGCATATTCTCTGTTGAAGCTCAGATCAATAGGAGTACATGAGTGGATTAACAAGAAGCAACTGCTGAAAACAGCCATCTGTGCACTCCGTTCCAAAAGAGGAACACACAGAGCTCAGCTTGTTCGAACCCCATGTTACTCACTGGCTGTCACAGCCCGTAACTCTTCATAGGCAAAAATGTTCTGGAAACAATTTTGAGGCTTAAAATATAGGAAAGATATAGTCAACATCACAAGCACTTCTCCCATCTCAGACAAAAAAAAAACAACTATAAATGCACTTTTAGAAATTTCACAGAGGGATGGATTCAGAATGGGGAAAAGGCCTTCCTTTTGAGGAAACTGAGCAAGAGAATACAAAGGCGAGGTACGTTTCCTCTCTTTAGAATCCTCAAAATCTGATATAGTTTCACTTGAGAAATGTGCTGACTAACCCACTGTCATCTAGAGGATTCGGTTTTGTAGCATTCTTATTAGCATAGGGTTTTGCTGCTTTCACAGTCAATATCAAGGATGTATTCTTCAGAATATAATGAGACTTTTCAGAACTTCCTCGTCAAACACTTCAAACACAGAGTAAAAGCAGGTGTGGAGGTAAACTGTAGCACAAGGACAAAGCTCAAGAGAGTCCTGGAACGCCAGACTTCACACATGCCTGCTTCTGTTAAACTCGGCAAGTAGGAACCTGTTTAAGGCAGCTAAACCTATTTAACAGGCAAATTGGGCTGTGGTTAACTGTGTGGAGTTTCTATCACAGGAGAGCACTGGGCCAGATGAACTCCACAACCTTTTGAACTCGATCGTGTGAAATACAGCGCAAGGCGCCGACAGGAAACTGCAGGGTATTTTTTTAACACCAACACTGCCTAACGCGTTTTACTGTACTGATCTCTTCAGTTATGTTTTCGGTAGACACTACCAGGCTGTCTGCACACAACCATAAAAAAACTACATCATGTTCTGCTCAACAGAAAGATGAAAAATGAAACTCCCACTTTATGTATAGATATGTATGCGTGTGTGGGCATTACCGTGAAAATATAACAACGGCTATTTCTTTTAAGCAAAGGGCTTTTTAAAGGGGGAAATGTAAGCCTGCACGGGTTGTGTTTATCTTAGTTCAGTTTTAGGACCGCCAAAGCCTCCGAGCAGGCGTTTTCGCTGCGTAAACACTGAACAGCTTGGCGAAACTGCTGAAGTAGCCGCGTCTCAGTTTCAGCAGTACACGTGCATTGCACAACAGGGAGTGACGGGCGAAGAATGTTATGAGGAAAAGTTACACTGTGGCCTGCCACGATCATTGTTCCGTGTGACGCCGAGGTGTGTGCTAAACTGGTAACAGTTAAAAAAAAAAACAGCACAAAGTCGCACGGCATGCGACAGTAAAATACCACGTTTAAGTCCGGAGCAACAAAGGCAGTTCAGTTCGGGGTATTTAACGTTTACGTGCAAGTACTGAATCACAAGCTGGTTTCGGTGTTGCATGTCAGTTCCACTAAACAGTGACACAACGAATGGGCAAACATGACCCTAAAACACCAGAGCTACTGTGCTTTTTTTGGATTTCTCTGTAGTTGGATTCTAAAAATAAGACAGCCTTTACATTTACAGAGAACAACAATTCCTTGTGTTCATTGTTCCACTGGTACAGTGATTATACCAGCACCACTTACTAAGGGAACCAGTTCGTTTAGTTTTGGTGTGTTTTTTGGGGGGTTCATTAGCTTTTTTCGTTTTGAGGCAACAGACAAGTTGTGTCTTTAGCCCTGCATCTTTAAAAATAATTAAAGAAAACACTTCTGGCCATGGGTTTTTATTCAATTTCAACCTGCTTTACATTTTTCTTAAAATAAATGAAAGAAATGAATGAAAATGTTAAAGTCTGTGCCCTATAAGATCCTTAAAGAAAAACATCAAAAACCCTTTGTTTTAAATCATTTATACTAGTGGCTGTCAACAAAGCGACAAAAAGCACAGATCAAGGGAAGAGCAGAAAAGAGATTAACATTTGCTGATTTTTATGCAAATAAGGTCATAAAAGACACCTTTAAAAATGTCTGATTGGCTTTCATGCCCAAATTTCACAGAAAAAGGTGTAAGTTTTTGACTTATGATTGCCCTTAACTGCTGGAATTCAGCCCTGACAGTGGTATCAGACAGAGTTATCGGGATGCCACACCTCAAAAACTATGGTTAAAGGGCACAGCTAAGGTATCTATTTGCTGATGGAATCAACTGAGTGTCTTGTTACAAATCACTTAAGTGTTGAAGGAACTATTAAAGGAAAATACACCTTTTTTTCCATTACGGCCTTAACAGATCTGAACAAGACCTATTTAACTGTTTAGAGTATACAATACTTGATGTGCAAGGGAAAAATCCTTAGTGTTCCTTATATGCCATATCTCTTTCAAAATGATATCATACGATACAGTGCATCAATGAAAAATAAATTTTATTAGTAATCATGAAAGCATGAAACAAAACTGAAGGACAATACACTGAACTGTAACAAAATGAAGGCCTTGAAGATATGATCTTGAACTCTGAAGCAAGAATGAATTATCCGTGTGTATTTTACAGGGAAACAAACAGGAACTCGCAGATTGATCTGACAACTGTGAGCTCAGGCTCAACACTTTGCACACTCGGACTTCAACAAATGTATTTCGTTTCAATCCGGGCGTAAGATGTCGCACGCTCTGTGGCAGGAATAGGTTTTTATTCCCTCTGGTTCTATTTCCTGTTACAATGAACATCAGATTTATTCAACAAAATGTAGACTAGGACCAGCTGCCTGATGCAGCACAAGAAGCAGGCCTACTTTTAGTCTTCATTCTTTGCTTCTGAGGTCAAACACTAGGCCCGACTTTACATAGTCTGCATGATCAGACAAGATTGGGTGTAGTCAGGGTGGTACGGCCAGGAGGATAATAAGGGCCAACGACAACAATCTCATACAGGGACATACAGCACCAAATAAAGTAAGACTTTTACAGGATTCTTCGTCCCCTTTTTGGTTTCATTCCTTGGTTCATATCAACAGAGAGCTCTTCTGACGAGCGACTGAACCAGGCCGCAATGAAATAGAGGCTTAAATTGCTGGTAACTGCCAGGTTATCACTGGAACAAAGTGCAGGAGAGCCAGGGGTCCAAGATAGATAAATGCAGCATAGCAGACAGACAAATGTTTTTACTTGTCACTGAGACGATGGCTACCAATGACACTCCAAGTAACACGCACTAAAGTACTTTCAACTGCGTCACTCTTGCATTTCCGATGTCAAGAAAACTGTCATCAAGCAGTTCCCAATCCTGGTCCTGGGAACCCACATGCCTGTTGGTTTTTGTTCCAACTGAGGACTTAATTGAGAACACTCAATTAAAAAATCCATCCACTGATAGTCCTAATAATAGCTTCAATTGGAACTCTTAATTGTTTTCAATTCTTAAACATGTAGGAAGTTGTCTTTTAAAAAATGTGGTTAAGAAACTTAAAAATCTCTATCCTTTGAGCAGAAAAGGATACTTGTAAGGGTTTTAAACAAGCAACTTGTGAGTTTAATTAAGGATTCACTGAAATGGAGAGCTGTGAGGGACCCCGAGACCCGGATGGGGAAGCCCTGCTGTGGGCAGTCGTGTTTTATTCTGTATATGGCAACGTTCATATTGTTTACTGATGTATTTACTACAGTGTTTACTGTGAAATTGTACAGGTTTAGTGTAATAAATCAGAACAATAATGAACAGTAACTGTAAGATTTAACTCATTTGCTTTAGCTTTTTCAGGGCAGGGTACCTTCCTTTTTGTAGAAACCCAGGTGAAGAAAAACCTATCAAAAGTAGTTTTCAAAGGGCATAAGCAGGTGGTTTTAATGAAGAGGAGGCAACCCTAGGCGTTTCTTCAGACATCTCTGAACGCACTTGTTCAATACATCTTTAGGCTCATGTTGTTTGGCAACCTTTAAGAATAAGCTTTATTTTTCATTCTTTATATGAAATCTATATGCTTAAAAGCAAACTGCTACTTCTAAAAACAGAAATATTGTCCTTTAGCTTCTTGCATTGGCCATAAATACTTCATTTAACAAAATTAATTTCTTTTATGCATCCCTCTGTGGCTTGGGAGAAACTTTTGGGTCATGTTAACACATTCTTCAAAAATACTTGCCCATGCCCATTACTAATTCTTTCCTTAGTCTTTCTAGAAATAAGAAATCAATGCCCTTTTTTAAGTGGTGTGACTGAGTTACATGCAAGCCTTAAATTCACTTTTTCTTCAAGCTTTAATTCTGAGAGACCAATAGACAAATAACAAAACTCCTTTTCAGTCCCATTCTCCAGATAAGCCAGTAACTTGATACTGACATGTTGAGCCGTGTTACCCTGACATAAAAGCAAGGGGGTCAGAATGACAGAATCATTCCACTAGTCAAAACGTCTCGCAACATTATGAAGCTGTATTTCACATGTGCTGGCCTGTTGCTATGTTATGCATGCAGTAAATTAATACAAACAAATTGCTGGCACTTAGCTAATTGCCTGGAAAGAATGGACTTGAAAGTGTACAATCAATAACATCAGCAATTTAGTTACCCATGCAGTGTTCTCAAAAGCATCAGAGTAATCAACATATTCATTTTACTGAAGATTATTATCACCATTCATTAATGAAAAATGAATCATAGAAAAATCACCATTTCTATAAGGTTGTTTTCTCCACTCCACCACTCAAATATTATGAATTAACAAAGCTGGAAACAATTTTGCTATAAACTCATGATGTCTCACCATTTCATTTGAAAAGAAGATCAAATTCAGACTGGAAGCTTCCAAAATATGCTTTAAATAGGTCACATGGTCCTGCTCAGACATTTACTCAAAATGCACAGTTCATAATGTGCCATTGATTAATTGATTCTTCACTGCTATATGGTAATGTAGCAGCACATATCCACCCAACCATCTTCAAAAACCAATAGAGAGGGTTACGGTGACCTAGAGCCTATCCCAGCAGTCAATGGGGTCTAGACAGGATGTATCCTGGATGACGCACAAATTCATCACATGGCCCATACCTACATCTACATGCGCTCACACACGTACAAAAAAAATTCAAAGATGCCAGTTAAACTAGACAGCATGTCTTTGGGCCGTGGGTGAAAACAAGAGCACTTAGGTAAAACCAGTGTGGCTGAGGCCAGTCCAGACACCCAAGAGACAGCAGTGTTAACCCCAACACCTCTGTGCTGCCCCAGTGTATATTCTTACCAAGAATTTAATTACATGACTCACCACACAAATCACCCCTGTTTATACTACATGTGCAACAAGGGTCTCAAATTCAGCTCCCTTTTCTATTCCGACATGATTATCACGTCTCACTTTAACCCTTCGGAAAGGTATAATGAAGTGCAAGGCGTGTTGTTTCATTCGTATCCTTCAATTTGAATGGAATTATTATATTTCTTCGACTACTTAAAAGTACCAAGAGAATGGGCACTTTCATGAAGCATGAATAACCATGTAAAAGTTAGCCCAGGGTGTGCACACCTCTTCAGGAAAGCCATGTCACAGAGCCCGTCGCGTTCCACATATCATTATGCCTACGCTTTCATCATGCCATCTTCATTTTAAAACTCTCCGTCATGACAGTTTGGTGGAGGAAGGGAAGAATGCCACTCTAGTTTCTAGCTTCAACATGTCTGTGGTTTAACAGGCCTCAAAATACGGAAGACCTGTTCAGCCTGGTTTTTCTCATGATGCATCTGTGTGTGACTAATCAAAAGGTTCACACCACCAAATGGAATGGTTCAAAGATTACTCTGGTGACCCAAATAGGGGTCAAAGCATAAATCCCTGTATCTTGTGATTTAAAGCCATATAAAGTTAAAGATTACATTTCCGTATCTTCATTTCCCCAGCTCAATTACTTCTCTTCAAAACTTTTTATGTTTTGACACTCTTTTCTGGTGACAGATAAAAAAAAAAACATTTTTGTCTGGACTGTGATGCCCAGGCAGTTCATATTTAATAACTCACTAAACACAAGACCAGAAGCAGATCTAAATTGTCCAAATACGCAGGAATCAACTCAACCTCTTGTTTACCTGTGGCGACATATTTGCATCCTTTCAACCAAACCAAATACGTGTTCTCTCCCCCTGACTATTCTTTGTGTCCTCCAGGTGACCCACACTGCGTTCAGACAAACCGGAACCATCTGGTAAGGGGGATTTTATTTTGTCCTAAATTGATGTAAAAAGCTGAATGTACACTTTCTGATCGTGTGCAAATCTTCACAGATCGCCTTGTAAAGCTACTCTGACCACAAGAGATTAATAGCTAAAGCCAAATAATGTGGTAACCATGTGAACCATGTGGTGTAGCAGCTTGTTTGCGAAGCTCTCAGCAAGGCCTCAGCATGCCGTTATCTGCATCTTGTTACCATGGGGACACAACATGGCTCTAGGATACAGGGGGTACAGAGATGTGGAGACAAGGGGTGAACTCATGTCTGTGTTATGTAGTATCACAAGCCAAGGTCATTGTGAGAAGCCTGGGAGGGAGTACCACAGACGTACAGTAGCTGTCAGCATTATTTAGTATCACAAGCGAAGGTCATTGTGAGAAGACTGGGTATGAGTACCACAGACGTACAGTAGCTGTATCCCACAAATTAAAAAGTGTAAGTTCCACCTTCTACCCAGAAATTACACCCTTTCGCTTCCTACCCTTCTGCAAACTTCCACCAAATGAGAAAATCCAGTTTTCTGGCATGCCAAGATCACATTTCCCCACAGATAAATTATTTTGCAAGGCATCTTGGACTGCTCTTGTGAAACCACACGTTTTCAGCAGTCAGCTGGAATTTCTGTTTATATGTTTGCAGTACATAGGCACTGCAGAATGTTCTTGTCAGTTTCACTGGGGTTTAAATTATATACAGTCCCAGCTTCAAGGATTTTTATAGGCCAAATGCAACTAAAATCAAAACAACCCCCCCCCCCCCCCCCACACCTAAAAACAGACAGCCTGGGTTTTGTTTGTGTTATAAACTTAAACCATCATCATTACCTGTAAATCCAGACCTTAAGGTGCTGTTTCAGCGTAAAATAGTCACACGGTTTTAAAACAATACACGTAAAGCCGTTAATACACAGCGACAACAACTCGTTTCAGATGAAAGGTCAAATACGTATGTTTTAGTTTAATAATAAGCCCTAGGCTACCTCATTATCATTTTAACTGCTAATTTGTAGCCGTTGCATGTTATAACAGGGTATTCTGTGCACCCAATCAGGGAACGAAACAATTCCTCTAGTTACTGACAAGAAATTCAGTCTTTGGACACGAAGTCTACAATCAATAATAAATAGTTTTACTAAACCTCATTTCCAGCAACAATAAAGCCTTAAACTAGCCAAGGGCATTAATCTGTTTGCCAGAACAACCTGTAACAAGTACTCACTGATATTTGAGTCTGACTTGGTCATTGTCCGGATTGCAGTAGAGCCTTTCCAAGTGTTCCTGGGAGTCATCCGACACACTCAGCCAAATACGTGTATCAGCTTTTCTGATTTGCCAGTGATAGGGCAGCACTGTGTGGTGCTGGGGACAGTCACTGCCATAAACGCAAACCCCCCGCAGAAAATCCACGCAGATCGATACTCCGTCCCCTTGATGGGTGTGATACTGCAGCTGGGTCAGAAGTTCAAACACGAGATCCAAGGAGGCCTCTTCGCTCTTATCCTGAAAGATGCCGCTTTTCAGGTCCGCGTCCTTCTCCGCCAGGCAGCTGGCACCCCGCAGCGGCTCCGGGGCCGCGTAGAGGCCGCTCATCGGTGCGCCCTGACCCGGGGAGACCACGACACCCGGGTTCTTCTCCTCGCTCGCCTGAGCCTGGAAGCGGGGCTCCTCCGGGGTGCCGACCGCAGCCTTCTGCTCGCATTGCCCAAGCCCGGCGCCGGAGTCGGATATCTCGTCTGTCTCTGCGCCCGATACCAATCCAGAAACCGCGCCGTCTTCCTTTAAACATATCTGGCTTAGTGTGGAGTTCTTTTCCACGGCAGCTTCACACAGGTTGGTCTGGTTCCTCGGTTGGTTGCGGGGTACGAAAACCCCATCGCCACCTACGAGCGCATCTGAGTTTAATAAAGTAGTGAAGAGGGGATCCAGCGCCCGGAGGCATTTGGCATCCAACTTCCTTTGAGCGTGTTTCTTTTTCAAATAAGGCTTGACAAGGGGTATTTTGTCCGACAAAGGCATCTGGCTGCTGAACTCCCCGCTGGTCTTTGCGAGACCCAGAGAAGGTGCGTCCGGACTTTTATCTGGAGTTTCTGTGCGTTTACTGCAAGCACCCAAAGTTTTCTCCATCGGCTACCTAAAACAAGAGCAGCCCTTTTAAAACCTGTGCAACGGAGAGAAAAAAAATTAAACGTTAAAACACAAAGTGTACGCACGGTTTTAATTCCATAGGATACAGTAATAGTACACAGCCGTCCTAACTTGGGAAGTTCAGTTTTCCGTCCTGTGTTCCCGTTAATGATACAACACAACTGGAGAAAAAATAGTTATAAAGGGCTTTCTCTGCGGGTCTCCCATTTCCCAGAAAATGCATAGCGAGTGAAGTCTGACCAATCCAACCAAACTGAAAACCTAGTTTTTATTTACCCACTCAGTCCGGGGAAGGTAAACTGAAACCGAAATGATCTGCCTGCCTTCTGCTTCTGCACACCCTGTTCTCCTGGGTGCGATGAGGTAATTACCGAGTTTCACATCTACATCTGCTGTTAAAATCCAAACGAATCAAACCGCACTGCGTTACCTTACCCACTACTGGATTGTAGTACACGCCTACAAGGTACGTGCAAGTACGGATCGCCACTGCAGTTTCCTTGAGCCTTGTTCTGAACAAACCAGATCCTTTCAAGTACGGGCAAACCAAGCTAGAAAGCAAGTTGCGCAAGTGTTGCAATAGGTATCGGACCCCAGACCACACTTAGTAATAACTGATATATAAAAGGGAATGTATAATAACACTAAACATTTAAACATACAGTAAATCGTTAACACAAAGACATCTGATCTGTTCAACTGGCTATATAGTAATCCTCAGCGATCCAGCGCTATGAACGTACCTTGACAAGAACAGTGGCTTTTTTGACGTCTTTTCCTTGAAGTTTAAATCCCGTCTGATCATGAGTGCTGTATGTCCTTGCGGGTCCGGGTTAGCCTGTACTGAGCTGGTGCTTGCGTGACAAAACTATCATCTACAGTGTTCTAACAACAACGCCAACTCCTGAGGTAGCAGCACGGCTCTCGCAGCTGTTGCAACTACTTTATGAGTCCCTTACATCCACTCACATCGCAAGGGCTGTAGTCTAGAGGCGGAGTTTGTCCGAGAAAAAAACCCCAAGGCTGTCAGTACCAGGAAGTTATCTTACGTCTGCGCTTGTGTACGCTGGCAGTTACCAGAAGGCAAACCTTAATGGCTGCAATATCTTTGGAGTTGTTTGCATTTTCGAGACCGTATTCAAAACCTATTTTCCAGTACAGGAAGTCAGAACAGGAAAAATAAAGCCCCAGGTGGGTTCGCTTTAATAGGTTTATTTTATTATTTTTTTAGGACAAAAAAAAAAGATCGCGTGGTATCTCTCAGAGTACGATAGCGAGCCATTAAATTAAACCATAAAAAACCGTGCAGTTCGCGTGTTTCCTCGGGGAGTTCTGTGTGTGACACCTCCTGGAAAAAAAGGTAATTAAATGAGAGAGAGAGAGAGCTTGTTTGCTGTTTTAATGATGCTCGGTACACGCGACGGCTCTCTGCATGCAAACCTTGTCTGTTCCAGAACGAGCCGCTGTTAAACAGGCCAACTCAAGCACATCTAAAAATCCAACAACGACAAAAAAAAACACGAGCCTTTTTTTTCCTTCCCAGGCTTGTATATACCTACTTATCTTTGTGTGCTGCAAAGACAAAAGGTGTACTCTTAGTCATCGAAAGGAACAAATTAGAATTTGATACACCTTCATATGCGTTTAGGAGGCCAGTTTTACCTGCAGCAAAATATTCTGACGCGTATGGCACCGACTGTTGGGATCGTTATTTATGCATTTCAGACATTCTTCCTAAACCGAAAGACGTAATATCCTTTTGTTCAAGCTGCAACATGTCTGTGTGCCTTGATATACTGAAGCCCGACATCTTGAGTTCTGGAATTAAGGCTATCACACCCTTACTCGGCTGAAACGCGATAGCCCTTCTCGAAGACTGATTGATGACTGCAGGAGGATACAGTCCCCTGTGATTTTCCTCTGCTGGCCCATCCTGACTAAGAAATGCGGTACCTATAGCGTAAAAATCGTTTGAGGTCTGCAGCATATGATTTAACATCTTCAACGGGAAATCTATTCAAACATTACCGGACAATCGAGCCCGCTCAGCTGCATTTTGTCCTGCAGTGTCAAAGCACAAGTTCATTGCTTCACAGCCGTAGAAAAGACGGTCTTTCTCTGCAACCTGCAAACTGCAATTTGATTTTAAGGAGACCCTCAAAGGCAAACAGTGCGAGATTCCAGTTCGCTTCACCCACACGTGACCGGTGTCACGAAGCGCTCGGTCGCTCGCAGTCTGCTGCTCCGAGCCTGATCTTGTAGACCGACAAGATCAAATGCTATTTTAAAAGCCAGCGTCGTGCTTACTCTATTATTTACCCTTTTAAAACGGACGTCCCCCTGTCTTTGTGTGGAACGTGACTCTGGTTCCCGTTTCTAGGTCGGAAGTGAGCGAATCAAAGAAAATACGAGACCCTATTTAAGTAACCACCCCTGAGTTTCACTGAGATTTCAAAGTGATTAGCTGTGTACTCTGAAACTGAAGGCCATGTGCCCAGACCTGGGGAAAAAAAAAAAACACGAGCACGGACCGGAGCCAACACGTCAGAGGGAGAGAACAAGAATTTTAATGACCCTGAAACTAGCAGGTCGATTCGTTTCTAAATGCCGACAATGTTTCGCCAAATGAAGGAAAAGAAAGGCCAGTTTCTGTGAAAATGAGTGAATCGTCCATCTTGATCTGTCACGCCCCCCCCTAAAAGCTTATGGCTCTCCCTCCCTGCTTTGGCATACAGGAGTCGGACTGGTGCTTTCAATTTCCTCCGAGTCAGTAGTTCGTGATGATCGGAGTCAGCAGAGTGAATCCAACGCTAACGGGCGGAGTCAGCTGTTCCCATTTAACCTTCAGCCGCATGAAAACCACTGACCCCTCTGGAAAAGGGGATAATCGTGCTGCCTTTCAGAATGAGGATCTGAAAATTACTTGGATCGCTGTTGAGTGAGGTCGGGTCCTGTAATGACCGGAGGCACAGGGGTGAAAACATTTAAGAACCATTTTCACAAACTATTATTTTTTCCTCGCCAGCCTCCAGCACTGCCTACTGTATTATAACAAATGTTTATTTATTTTTTTGTCTGTTGCAAAATAAAAACCGTCTAATTCTGACTTGCGTATAATTATTTATTGCCTACCAGGGACTCTTGGATTAAGATTTCTCTTGTGTCTCGTAATTGAAATATTTCATTCGTGTGGTGAAATCGCAACACGGTAAAAGTTTAATGAACGTGGACTTGAGTCTTGTAAGATGAATATGACAGTGTTGCAAGTTATTCCTTGTTATTTCTCTGGAATGTGTTTCATTTTCTGGCTTTCTGCAATATTATAATGGGGACCTTAGCTACAGAGCGATTTCCAGACCATCAAGAACACAACTAATTACAGCTTGAGAATGCGCACTTCGTGCCTTTATGTTTCTTACAAAAATCTCAATAAAATGAGAACCACTCACTGTGTTACTGGACAGGTGGCCTCTTGTCTGACACCATTGATTTTCGTACCAGAAAAAAAAACCTTCAAAAATCAAAGGCAATGGAGTTTTTTTTTTCTGAATAGTGAAACAGAACCCAGAGGACACAAGTGAAATCTCTGGAAGTGCAACTAAATCTAAGAACTAGAAGCTCTTTTTAAAATTTTACACAAAGGGGAGCGGGAGTAGGGATCAAGCCGGCCATCCATGTTTTTGAAGCCGATAACTTGGCTTCTTTCGAAAAAGGATTGTTTGAGTTTTGTTCCCTGCAGCTACCTGCACCACCTTTTCTTAAAAAAAAAACTTAGAAGGTACTCAAAGGCCTACATCTGCATATTTATGTTCATTCTGGTTTGATGCTGAAACAACGAATGCCGCAAATATATTAATTGATGAGATTTCATAACCTGGATGAAAATAGGTTATGGAGGGGTAGCCCTGCAGTTCCAAATGTCAGTTTTACACCCTGTAGAACTGCTCCTGCTGTAGCCCCTGTTGACCTGTCGGCATGAGACATCTGGGCATCTCAGGGCAGTGATAGCCACTCCTGGTCCAGGGGGGGGCCGCGGACCACCAAGTTTTACAGGTAACTTATCATTGTTAATGGGTAAAGACCTGGAAAAAATGCAAATATAAACCAACTGGGTGAAAAGTTGATGACTGGGAAGCTTGATGCCTTAATGAGGGGGGCAGTAGAAACATCAAGAGTCCGAGCTGGAATTCAGTCAGGACGCAAGGCAGCCCTCCAGAGCCAGAGTGTAGATGAGTGTGTTTGGGCGCTAACGGGTATGTGTCAGGTCTACCTCTGTGGACTGGCCATGGTGCCCCTTTTAAAACTCATTGTCTGGAGTGTGGTCCAAGGAGACACCGGACCCTGTATTCTCACCTGTTCAAGAGTCTAACCTGCATGTTTGGGAAGCTTATCCACTACATATTACAGAAACCAATTCCAGCGAGAATCTCATATTTCCTGCAAATATAAAATGTACTAATCACTGTAGTGGCTATACTGTTAAAGGTTTTATGTGTTGTAAAGGGTTGAGGAATATTCCTCAAATAGAGGGAACAAGCATGCCACCTGCTGTTCCTACAGTGACATAGCACTTTTGCTCAATTAATTTTGCCCATTCAAAGCAAAAATACTTTGGCTAATAATAATAATAATACAATAATAATAATAATTGCTTACACTTATATAGCGCTTTTCTGGACACTCCACTCAAAGCGCTTTACAGGTAATGGGGATCCCCTCCACCACCACCAGTGTGCAGCCCCACCTGGATGATGCGACGGCAGCCATAGTGCGCCAGAACGCTCACCACACATCAGCTATCAGTGGGGAGGAGAGCAGAGTGATGAAGCCAATTCATAGATGGGGATTATTAGGAGGCCATGATTGGTAAGGGCCAATGGGGAATTTGGCCAGGACGCCGGGGTTACACCCCTACTCTTTTCGAGAAACGCCCTGGGATTTTTAATGACCACAGAGAGTCAGGACCTCGGTTTTACGTCTCATCCGAAGGACGGCACCTGTTTACAGTATAGTGTCCCCGTCACTATACTGGGGCATTAGGACCCACATGGACCGCAGGGTGAGTGCCCCCTGCTGGCCCCACTAACACCTCTTCCAGCAGCAACCTTAGTTTTCCCCAGGAGGTCTCCCATCCAGGGATGAAAACTGGTCATAAGTATTTTTAATGTTGCATTTTTTCTTCTGCTCCATGAGACCAGCTGAGATGTATTTTTTCCAGCAAGATTATATGAACATAAGAAACTTTACAAATGAGAGAAGGCCATTTCTTATCTGTTTGGTAGATCAAAGGATTTTATTCAGCATTTTCTTGAAAGACTTGTGCTTTAACAACAGCCAGCTTGTTCCATACTCCCACAGCCCTTTCTTCATGACCAATTGCACCCACGGGTGTATTGTTTACATTTCACAGTGTAAATCGACATGCTTTTACCATGGATTTCACTGTGCTTTACTACACATTGTCTACACTATGCTTTTTCATATTAAATCTTTTAAATTTCTTGGGATGTGCTTAAATGGTGATTCATGAATTGAGTGAAGTTTACAATAACTAGGAGACTAGGAGAATATAATAACAAGAGTTCTAATACTTGAACTGGAGATCTGCAAACAGCCATGGTGACACACCAGCCTTCGGAAGCTGCTGGATTTTCTTAGCACATATAGAGAAATTACATTTCAAGAAACAAAAATGGCAAAAGGGGTAATGTGAAAAAGATGTTTTTTTTTTTTGCTACTGGCATGTAGAAAGTATTAAACACTTAGTTGTGGTGCTAAAGATCGCAGTCGTGCAATTATAAAATTGTCCCATCTGGAATGCAGATGTTTGCATTAATTCTTGATGCTCATTATGATGAGAAGAAAGGCTCTTGATTTCCCTTTGTTGCAGTTGGAATATGCACCAGCCAGGGCTGGGTCACATTGTGGATTTCTTTCCACCATCTGATTGGAGGCATTTTAGGAATGGCAGGAAAAACGTTTCACAATGATTGATTTCTTTTATGTTTTGAAACCAGCACTTCAGAATTTTTCTTTCATCCCACAGAACAACACATATTTATTTATTTGACATTTGTGCAGCATAATGTTTTTTTATGTTGGTTTCTGGGAGGAAGGAGGCTAATGCAGTTGATGTCATTAATACAAAATCCTTAATAAATGTAAGCCCCGCATGTCTGCTGCACTGTAAAGCATTGTTGTCAGTCTGGTGATTTCTTCAGCCACACTACCCAGTGTCTGTATTATTTGTACTTATTATTTGCCTTGGATTACTGTAGCCAAAGGGATGCCTGCCCTTCAAGTCAGTTCAAGTTTATTTTGCTTAGCTGGATTGCTCAAAGCGTTAGAATCTACAGGAGCAATTCTGCATGCTAAACAGCACAGGCATTCAAAAAAACTGGTCTTACAGTAAAGCTACAGATGTCACTGTACAAATGTTAAAATCAATATGTATTCAAAAGTCCTCATCAGGTAATGATGAAGTATGCCAAAACATTGATGGCGTCTTAATAATAAAGAATTATTATTAGAACATAGAAAGACTATATCAAGCTCCTCTTACTGTTTTCTCGGATTTTCTCCACACAGCAGGTCAACAGTTCTAAGTGTGTGCAGTTCTTTCTTTTTTGAAATTGTAAGAATGTTACCACGGTCTGCTCAGCAATTTTTTTTCCCTGTTTGGTACAATGAAATTGACTTTATGTATGGTTGTAGTAAAAAAACATTTTAAAGAAGGATGTTAATATACAGAAGCAGCTGTAGTTTTTAATGTCAGACAGTGTCCCAGAACAATCATGTCCTATTACACATGCGGAGTGGAGTAAATGACAAACTAATTATTCGAGAAACAAGTTACAAACATAATCCACATTTCAAAATATAAAGCACCAATTTTAAAATAGAACAGAAGATTGTGCATGCTTAGTTACATGTTAACATTTATGCCTGCTAGAATAATATTATTATACCATAATTAAAATAAAATGTAGCATCTTAGGATGCATCTAATTTAAATATCATATTGGTATTTTAATATATACTCTACAGGGTAATGTTAATAAAAATGATTGGGATGTTCTTGGATAACGTTATATGACTGCAGTCAAAACTGATTCAGTGTCAGAACAACTTACTCCTGTTTTATAGAATTGACAGCTTAAACTCATGATCACAAGAGCCTCACCATTGCAAGTGTTATCCAAATTATGTAACGTATCCTCTACTCCTCC